TTCATTAGGTTAGCTAATTAGGCGGTTAGTTAATTAGGCTTAATTCTAATTAACCTCGCTTAAGTCTTAATCTTGGTTAGCCTAATTAACCTTACTTAGGCTTAAGCTAATCTTGTTTAACTTTTTCTAATCCTACTTAATTTTTGATTAGATATTCATTCGGCTCTACTTATTAGACTAAGTTGATTAAGCTCCTCCTTACTTAAGGTTTTCCAAGTTATCTAGGCATTGAATAATCTAATTCAAGCAAGTTTCCTAACTCTTCATAATTTCCCAACATTCCTTTTCATAAGTTTCTTATTGATTATTTCTATCTCCCAAAGCTTCCATCTCATTTCTTCATATTTTGATCTCCAGAATATTGTAAGCTGATTATAATTGGGTATTCTGTGGAATGTGGTAGTCGATAGAATAATTATTTTGGCCTAAAGTATGCCGATATAGATAATGATAAGTTGTAACACTTGGCGTGTTTTTGGGTGTCACACTAAGCCTAAACACCATCTCTCAAATCTTGAATCTGGTCAAACTGTAGGGCACTCAAACTAAGATTATTTGCGCATTACAATTTTGAATTGATTAAGGTATCATCAACTAGTTCTAAAGAATCTGTCTCTCATATCTCGAGTCGAATTGGGAATCAATATATACAAATCGATAGAAAAATTAGTCGACGAGGGTTCAAATTGAAGTAAAAGAACTTCTTTGGAGACTTTATTATAATTATTTTAAGTTATCATGGCGTTTAATACAATAATTACAAGTTTAAATTATTTAGATTATTACAATAAGGTCATGTTTGTTTGGGTGGACATGAGCTTGGGATTGGACTAATAGTCCAATAAAATTATTAATCCGATGTTTGGTTAAACAATTGAAGCACAGACTAATTATTTTAAACTTGACTATTAGTTAAGATAGGATACATAATCCAACGGATTCATAGTCCTAGTATTATTAGTCATGGGAATGCTAATCCAGTCCGCCCAAACAAACATGGCCTAAGAGTGATAAAGAAAAGAGTTTTCACCAAATTTAATATTATCAATTCAACACGAAGTTTGACATTATTATAATTTAACATGTAAAATAGCAATCCATTAAAGATACATTTGAAAAAAAATTACATTTTAACTTTGGTACCAAGAATAACAAGATGCTCTACATAAAGAGCACCCTTCAGTCATCCTTACTCATATATCAAAATCTAGATGTCGCATCTCTCCCTTTTAAAAAAGAGAATTTTGCTAATCAATGCTTGGAGAATCTGGATTACAATTTTAGATAAAGTTTTTATTAATGTCCAATGCCTGCCTTAAGAAGTTTAAAAAAATTATATAATTTTTATGAAATTGTGCATCATAAATAGTGTATAACTATTTAAAATAAGGTGGCAGCCTTAAGAATTGTCAATAAAAACTGTAAAATGTCAAAATATTTATAATTCCAATACATACTCTACATATTCCAAAATATTTTTATTCATTGTTGACATATTTCAATATACTTTATATATATATATATATATATATTTTTTTTTTTACTTTATATATATATATATATATATATATTTTCACACTAACAATAACGGTAATAGTTATTTTAAACATTTTTCTTTAAAACTAGTTGGGAGGTCCACGTGCGCTGCACATGGCATATGAATTGATTTATAAATGAAACATGGGTCTTCATTTGGATTGTTTTCTCAGATAATCTTGTATTAATGTATTAATGTGGGCTTGTTTTATATAGTGATTTTGTGCTTAGCTTACAATACTACAATTGCAGTTGATTTTGCTGGCAAAGTTAGGTAGAAATAAGGTAAAATGCGGGCTTCTTTAGGATGGGTTACCTATCCTAGGTTAAAATAGTCAGTAAAACAAAATATTTCACCACATTACTTTTTCTATTTTTTTGCACGTCTTTTCGTAAAAAATCAAATAGTCAACTAAAATAATTTATTTCCTAACGGGTTGGTGATCATTTATGGATCTCTAATTTTTTAGAAGTGAAATTAATCTTTAGTTTTTTTTTTTTTGATTTTCCAGACACTTGGTAAATTTAAGAATTTTTTTTTTGTTCATAATATTAAGTGCAAAAAAAAAAAAAGAATATAAAATATACAAAGAAAATGCCTTAGGCAGTTAAAATTCATTTTGAGTGTGATGTGAGTTAGACTTGAAAAATAAATTTCATCCAACACTTTTATGTGTTTTATTTTTGTGAGTCTAACACTATTCTTCCTACTACCTAAAAAAAAAACATTATTATTCCTTCCCTTTTACATAATCCAACTATTGTGAAAAATTTATTGAATACAAAATAATACAAAAATTTAATACATTTTAATATTTTTCCATATTCAATGACCTTTAATTTTTTTTTGGATACAAATTATATATTTTTTAAGTGTATATATTAAGTCGATCTATAATAAAAACTCAAAATATACTTAAGAGTCGTCTGCTTTTTTTATACATATATGAACGAAGAATGGAAGAAAAACAAAAAAAACTGTTACTTGTATAAAGCCTAACTTGATAAGTGGGTAGTTTGTTTGCGAATTAGAGTGGACACGTGGGTTGTTTGTCTATGAATTAGAGTGGACAAGTGGGTTGTTTGTCTACGAATTAGAGTGGGTTGTTACGTTTTTATTTGTTTGTACAACCACTGGATTGTCAAATAGAGTCAAACATAGTTGATTGAAAGACAATGCGATTTACTATTTGGTTCTAAAATCCGAAACAGAGTGGCCAACAAAGAATTAAGATGTTATGATAATTCAAAATAATGAATCAACTCAAAAAAAGAAAAAGAAAAAGAAAAGAAACGAATTGAGGGTACTCAAGCCAGTATTAGTGGTTTTAACAGAATCACCCACTCAAATTGATTGTAGGCTTGTACTATTTAGGTAATACCTTTGAGTAGTGTAAGACCCTTTTCAATCAATTGATGATATTGACGATATTATTATGTATGATGATGCATATTATAATACAACTAATATAATTGGACATAAGTCATGAGTCTCAAATAGAGAACTTGACAACTTCACAAAATAGCAATCACCTTGTTTGGTTTCAATTTCTAGATTCATTTTTTAGAAAATTAAAATTTTTTATTTTCTGAATCATCCAAAGTGTTTGATAGTAGATTGTGATGTTTCAAGGTGTTTGATGTTTGAAGGTATTTGAATTTCAAAAGATGTCTGTAATTGTTTGTGATTTTACTGATATTTAATCTGTTTGGAAGGGTATTTTCAGAATATGTAAAAAGTAGAAAATATGGTAATTCTTCGTACTTTTATAATAGTTGTAGATGTAGATATTGTTAACCAAACTCATTAGCAACACCTTTTAGTTATTATTGATGAACACAAAGGGTGTGATTTTTTTAAGTAGTACAAAAAAGTTGTAATTTAATACAAATCATATTATAATTTTTTTTTTTTGCATATTTAAATATATATCAACTTTAATTGTTTAACCAAAAATATATTGAGCAATGTTTACAAATTTACCAAAAAAAGAAATAAAAAAATTGCAAATAAATAAGATGAAGGATTAATTACAATTTAGTAGGATGAGGATGATAGTCTCAAATTACAATAGTTATGAGAAGAAGCAAAACACATTGCACTGACATCGAAAGGTCAAAACTAATTGCAATAGGATGAAAATTATACCTCTTTTATCCTCTTATTGTCTTTCAGCAATGATTGAGACTCCATTTTTTTAAAAATTCTTACAACCCTTTTTAAATTTCAATTATTGATAGTGTGGGTTCCATATATACATAAGTAAGTTTCACATATATATCAATGATTGAGATCAAAAAGGATTGTAAGAGTGTTAAAAAAAAAAGGCGTCTCAAGCATTTTTCATTATCTTTTTATCCTTTTTTTTCTTTTTTCTCTCATCTATTTTTCTTCTCTAAAGAAAACCGGATCATCACCTCTTTGCTTTTTCCCCTTTTACTACTACCACCATTCACGAGCACCACCATGGTCACGGCTACTTCTATAATCGACCATTGTTGGCCACTGCCATATGCCTTCTATGCCGCCAAACAAGAGGCCATTACATTACCATTACTGACCACCATGCCATTCCCAAGCTCGACTCTAGCCTTGTCATCTCCTTTTCAACAGTGGTTCTTGACAGAGTTCAAAACTAAGGCATAACTTGCAATTAGGCCAATATGGTTCCCTCTCTCTCTCTCTCTCTCGTGGTGATGGTGATTGTAGGAGTTGGTTTGGGTAATGATTTATAGTTTTGGTGGTGGAAAAATGAGAATGGAGGAAGGTGTTGTGGTTGTTGATTGGGGGTTTATTTGAGTGTTGATGGCATTGGATATGGTGGAGTAGCAGAAGTTGGATGTAAATAGTGGGGATTACATAAGAAATATTGAAAATGGTAGAGGCGATAAAACCTGGCTCCTCACCACTAGAGTTAAATGAAAAAAAGAAAGTTCGGGTAGTTTTGCCAACTTGACTAAAGATTTCATATCTTTGCAATTAATTTTTAATATTTTATCTCTATTGTAATTATGTCAAATACCTTATTTATAATGTCTTTTTCATTTTTATCACAAAACAAAAAAATAAAAATAAAAATATAATGATAAATGTAAAGGTATTTACGTCATTTTAAGATGTATATAGATAGAGTTAGGTCAGATATTTTAAATAATTTATCAAATTTTTTATTAAAATTTTCACATGTGTGAGATTTATAGATTTGTGTAAGTCACACATTTATACAAAAAATTTGATAAATTATTTAAAATTTATAGAATTTTTTATATAACAAAATGTTAGAAAATTTTAAAATTTTATCAAAAATTTTATCAAATATCTTACATGAATGTGAGACTCACATAAGACTCACATTGTATAAATCTCATTGTTATACGAGACATTTAATAAATTTTTTGATAAATTTTTTAAAATGTCTGACATTACCCGTCATATAAATATCTAAAGATATAAATAAGGCTTTATCTCTAACCAAATTCTTTTCTCTCTGCCAGAACCCTACATACAGAAGCTCCATTTCCTCTCTGCTGCTCGTCAAACATGGCGGCCACCGCTGGTAACCCTGGCATCTCCATCCGACCACCACCCTCCTCCACCAAATCCCATCAACTCCTTTCAAGATTCACCCTCCCCATTCCCTCTAATCCCCAAAACCCCACCCTCCTCCGCCGCCGCCCTCTCCACATCTCCAATGTCCTCTCCAACCCCAAACCCACCACCCTCACCACCACCCCCGCTGCCGCCGAAACATTCATCTCCAGATTCGCCGCCGACGAACCCAGAAAGGGCGCCGACGTCCTCGTCGAAGCGCTCGAGCGCGAAGGCGTGACAGACGTCTTCGCCTACCCCGGCGGCGCGTCAGTGGAGATCCACCAAGCCCTGACGCGCTCCCAAATCATCCGCAACGTCCTCCCCCGCCACGAGCAAGGCGGCATCTTCGCCGCCGAGGGCTACGCACGCGCCTCCGGCCTCCCCGGCGTCTGCATCGCCACCTCCGGCCCCGGCGCCACCAACCTAGTCAGCGGCCTCGCCGACGCAATGCTCGACAGCGTCCCCGTCGTGGCCATCACTGGTCAAGTCCCCAGGCGCATGATCGGCACTGATGCTTTTCAAGAAACCCCAATTGTTGAGGTAACTCGATCTATCACCAAACACAATTACCTTGTTCTTGATGTTGATGACATTGCTCGTGTTGTGCGCGAAGCTTTCTTTCTCGCATCTTCGGGTCGTCCTGGTCCTGTTTTGATTGATGTACCTAAAGATATACAACAACAATTAGTTGTTCCCAATTGGAATCAACCTTTGAGATTGCCTGGTTACTTGTCTAGGCTGCCTAAACCACCCCAAGACACCCATTTGGATCAGATTGTTAGGTTGATTTCAGAGTCTAAAAAACCTGTTTTGTATGTTGGTGGTGGGTGTTTGAATTCCAGTGCGGAGTTGAGGAGATTTGTCGAGCTCACGGGCATTCCGGTCGCAAGTACTTTGATGGGTCTTGGATCCTACCCTTGTTCCGATGAGTTGTCTCTTCAAATGCTTGGAATGCATGGTACTGTTTATGCCAATTTTGCTGTTGATGGAAGTGATCTGTTACTTGCTTTTGGGGTCAGGTTTGATGACCGTGTGACTGGAAAGCTCGAAGCTTTTGCTAGCCGAGCTAAGATTGTTCACATCGATATCGATTCGGCAGAGATAGGAAAAAATAAGCAACCCCATGTGTCAGTGTGTGGGGATGTGAAGTTGGCTCTGAAAGGGTTAAATGAGATTTTGGAGGCGAAAAGAGCTAACCTTAAAATGGATTTTTCTGCTTGGAGGCAGGAGCTAAAGGAGCAAAAAGTGCAGCATCCATTGACCTTTAAGACTTTTGGAGATGCCATTCCACCACAATATGCGATTCAGGTTCTTGATGAGTTAACCAATGGGAAAGCGATTATAAGTACTGGTGTTGGACAGCATCAGATGTGGGCTGCTCAATTTTACAAGTACAATAGGCCTAGGCAGTGGCTGACATCTGGGGGATTAGGGGCTATGGGTTTTGGATTGCCTGCTGCAATTGGAGCTGCTGTTGCGAGACCTGATGCAGTTGTTGTAGACATTGATGGCGATGGAAGCTTTATGATGAATGTCCAGGAGTTGGCTACAATCCGGGTGGAGAATCTTCCCGTTAAGATACTGTTATTGAATAATCAGCATTTGGGTATGGTTGTTCAATGGGAGGATCGGTTTTATAAGGCTAATAGGGCTCACACATATTTGGGTAACCCATCAAAAGAGTCTGAGATATTCCCGAATATGTTAAAGTTTGCAGAAGCTTGTGACATACCTGCTGCTCGGGTGACAAAGAAGGAGGATGTTAGGGCTGCAATTCAGAAGATGTTGGATACCCCTGGGCCATACTTATTGGATGTTATTGTACCTCATCAAGAGCATGTCCTGCCTATGATCCCAAGTGGTGGTGCCTTCAAAGATGTGATTACCGAGGGTGATGGGAGATCAACATACTGACCTCCCAAAGCAGCAAATTTCATTTCAAGCATTGTATGTAGCAGTTCTAGGCTTAGCAAAAAGGGGTGGCCTCGGTTTTTTAGTTAGTATAGTATCTGTGGTATTGTTATTTATTGTATTTTCTTATTAGTTCTCTTAAAGTTTGTCTGCTGTTTTTGACGCTATGTTGTTCTTTTATTTTTTTAATTTTGCATCTTATAATAATGTTTATGTAGTATCATGATATTCATTGGCCTGGTTTCAATTTTGATTGTTGTTTTTGCCATTACCTTTAGGTCCACTCTTTGGCTCATTTTAACACCAGAATACCAATATCAGTGAAAGTGTTCAATGCTAATAATCCTTCAGTATTTTCCGGTTGCTCAAGTTGAGTATTGGAGTTCTGAGAACTAGAAAATAATGAAATGAAAACAAAGAAGATTAAGTGGAAAACCTTTGGTCTTTGTTTCTCATTTTCTGACTTGAAAGTTTTCAATGTTACTAATCCTTCAGTATTTTCTGGTTGCTCAAGTTGAGTAATGGAGTTCTGAGAACTTGAAATGATGATGAAATGAAAACAAAGAAGATGATTAAGTGGAAAACCTTTGAATTTGTTTCTCATTTTCAGACTTACCAATTTGGTTTGGTTGATTAGTTGTGCTCTCTTCTTGTTATGGTTCATATTACGAGTTTGCAGAATAGTTCACTAAAGTTGTCAATCCCGTATTGGACAAAATATCGGTTTGTAAAGCTGTCAATCCCGTTCCTGACAAATTACCGGTTTGACCATTGGTATAGTGCATACCAGTTCCTGACAAATTACCGGTTTGACCATTGGTATAGTGCATACCAGTTCGGTATATTTGCTGGTATCATTTCAAATTTATTGCTACAATTGTTAACCATGGAAATGCAATAATAAACCTTAACATTTGACAATTAACCCAATAATGAATGTGTGTGTGAAATCCAAAGGAGTTCTTTACAGCTCCTATTTTTGTTCATAGCCTCAGCAACTCAGCCAAGATGAAAACAAAGCAACAAAATATCAATAATGTTAGGACTACTAACTAGCATACCAACTAAACACACCAAGATACAATGTTAGGTGGGACTTATGTTAAGTCGGTGGAATATGCCTTGTGTTTTAATCAGTGTATTAGTTAGTACACTAATTAGTATTCCCAACATTATTGAAACCGATGAAATCTAAGAAAGGAAAACCTAAAGAGAGTCAGATACAGAAAGGGCAATTATACAGATACTAAGAAATCAAGCACAGAATTTTTGTGAGAGAGATGATACCTCATGAGGCTTCTCAATGTCTCCAACCGAGAGAGAGAGAGAGAGTGCACTCAGATTTGGGAGAGAGTAGTGACCCAAAGTTTTTTCATAGAGAAGCAATGTTGTTGACTACTGGACTGAAGCAATTACGCCTTGAAAATTCTGAGAGTTTTTGATTTTGTTTTTTTTTAGAAATTAGAACATAAATTAAGCCTCTTTAATCACAGTACCAGAGAATACCGTGGTATTTTGCTTTTTAATCTCCTATTCTTAGTAATAGGGGATCTGCTAGTGAATTGAATGTATTGATATCTAATGTTGATTTTTAAACTCGGGGCAGAGAGGTCGAGTTTAACAGACCTCAAGAACTAGGTTGTGCCTTTATGGGCTATCTAAGGTATAAGTATTGGACTTGGTCCCAGCATTGGTGGGTATTGTAACTTTGCATCAGCAATACAACTTGGTGATAAATTATAATGCAATAATCTAAAGCCCATAATATGAAGAACAAAAATGTATTAGATCCAGCATGACAGCCCTGGTTTGGGTTGAAGTATTTCTGACACTTGCAATGAGGGAGGCATAGGTAGTATTCAAGGTCGTTACAAAGGGCTTGTAATGTCTTTCTATGGGATTGCCGGTCCCTGCTGGTTTTTTGAGACTTGGAGAGAGAGAGAGAGAGAGAGAGAGAGAGAGAGAGAATTGTAAAGAACAATTAAATGGTTCTTGCATTTTTTTTAAAATTTTTTATTTGTAACACAGCCCAATGGAATCCTTTTGAATTAGTGGCATATAATTTTTTTTCTGCAATTATTTATCATCATCCTGTTGATCAGGAATTGTGTTGCTGTATATTAGTGTAAAATATATCATGTATGGTATTGCATGGCTTGTCCAAGATATCATTTGGTTGATACATGTATTGGTTTATGAAAAAATAGATTGGGTTTTTTCGATACAAGGTGCATTCTTAAACATAAATTAAAAATGACTGATATATATATATATATATATTTTTTTTTTCATTAAAAATTGGTCAGATCTTTTAATGCGTATAGAGCTGATTTTTGTAGAAGATCACTAAAGTTTTTTTTTTGTGTGTGTGTGTGTGTGTGGAACTAAGATCACTTAAGTTTGAACACATGAATTGAAAGAAACAGAAAATATTTATATTAGATAGAGATAATAATGTGACTAACTAGCATGTCAATTGCAGTGACAAATGAGTGTCAAATACTGAGTTGTTCACGTCTAACTTCTAACATTTAAAGTTCGAAATTCGTTACAATGAATCTTCAAGCTATGAGATTTTCAATTCATTGATTAATAAAGTGAAAATAAAACTGTAAATTTCAAAATTCCCAAACTCTTTCAATGTCCTAATGAAGAAAGAAAATAGTTGCTGATATTAGGACTTTGAATGCAGTTTGTTGAGAAAATGCTGTGCTCGATTCATTCATATGAATGATGGTTTTTAAGGATAGCCAGTCTTTCAGGCTCTCAGCTTATAGTGATTTATCACAGTCGTAGTTAGTTCTTTGGAATTTCACTTCATTGATGAACTTTCGTACACCGGAAGATGGTTATTTCAATGAGAATGAAAAATTGATCCAAAATGAGATTGAAATGGTCAATTCCAGGGCTAGTAATTAACTAAACACTGGCCATTATCTCTTATCATGTGGATTCAAGGTAACATTCAAAGAAGGTGATTGGGATGGTGTCTGAGATTGACCGATTCCAATTCTGCAAGGTTTTTTGTAAATTTTTTTTGGAAGCACATAATGAAGTTCTTTTGCATGTTAGTGCATCATAGATCACAATCAAGGGTATAAGTAGGTTAGATTTGGTCACCTTGTGTAAATGGTTGCAGATTCTCTGATGAAACACAGGAGATTCATGGAGATAGAACCTGCACTATCACTTATGTATGGTATTTTACAGAACGAGATGGGGTGCCATGTAATAATGCTGAAACTCATTTTGAGATCCATGGAGAGATATTATTAGATGCAAAAGAGGTCTTTACGGTTTTAAGTAATTGAAGCACAGTGAGATCACAGACACCGCAGCAATGGCAGACTATCATTTTGATCACACTCCCGAGTTATAGATTAGTTAACCCTTTCTAAGTGAAACCATTCTGAACGAAGAGGCATATGGAAGAATCATTCTTCTTATTTTATTTTATTTTTTGACTTGGATCTGCAACTGGAAAATGTGAACAGCAGATAAGAGTTCTAGGAGGTAACAAAAAACACTTGGGAAGACTACAGAACCCAGGTAGCGTCTGGAAATCCACCAGTCTTGACATTCAATGGTATCTTCAGAATTTAGTTCTAAATTTGCAGCATATGATCTTGGAAAAAATTGTAAGAATTTCTGGGTATGAAATTGCATTTCTCTGTACAGATAATTATATAATCATACAAGTACCTCTTACTCAATTGCCTATGCAGTATCAAAGGATTTTCTCCGGACCAGGAGGCAAGTAATCTTGGTAGGATGAGCATGTGTATTGTCAGGACTGCACAGCACAAAGTCGGGCCTGTGGAGCGCAAGCTTCAACCGATCCTCTCCCACAATCAGAGCCGTTGCGTCAAGCAGAACATGCCACGAGTTCCGGTGAGCTTCTGATATCCAGTGCATTGAGTAACGTGTACCATTCACATCAGCTGGGTAAGAAAACAGTCCCTTTGGGCTGTGCTTACATTTCCTCCTAAAATACTGACTCAGTTGTGATCCCTTGATCCTCAAATCCAGCCAAGTTTCTGGAGCCGAGATCACTTTTGATTCCTTATAACTTGCAAATTCCTTTACGTAATCTGATTCTTCCCCGATAATGGTCATGTAGAAGTTACCTCTGAAGAAAGGGTAGCTCTCACCCACCAACATCATGGCATCTTTGTAGTTTGGAGTGAAGAGAACAAGGTACTCTTCTTCATCATGTAATCCACAGTGCTTTAGAACTTTGTTCCTTGCTTGGATTTCAGGTATGGAGATGAAACTCCCTGGAAAGGATGACTTTTTGGTGAGGATATCAAGCAATCTTGATGGCTCCAACTGGGCTTTGTCTAGATCAGAAATATTGCTTCCAAATGAGGGTGTCGATGAGTCTCTAAAACTTCCCCGTGGTGACTTTCGCTTGACATCTGGTGTGGGTGGCTCTGAAGGCTCTTCTTTGATGCAAAGGTTATACAGGTCAGTTTTTTCTCCTCCTTCAACAAGGGCATTGGAGTACTCTGGGTACTTTGCAAGCACATATTGTTCAACATATTGCATTTCTGTTGGTGTGATTGGGCCTGACCATCTCAGATCAAGACCATGGAGTGTTGATATGGCCTCGGCTACTATGTGAGCAGGAATCACCGTATGGGCTTTCTGTTTCACAACCAAGTTGTTCTCTTAATCAGAACTTGATTGACACCAAGAATCTTTTTTCAAGAAAACAGAGATGAGTTTGGATTTGAAATTACCTTGATGATCAAGCTGCTTGGTCTGCCATTTTTGTGAATAGAAGCAAATAGGGATTTCCTCAAATCGCCTTCCCCCGTGGCCTAATTTGTCATCAATGTTATTGTCAGACTTGTTAAGCTTTTGGCATGGAAGTCTTAAGAACACAACTTTTCCAAGAAAAATCTGAAGAAAATTTTGAGTTCTTACCTTAGATCTCGTATGCAATACGATCTGTTCTTCTGGATTCCTCCCCATGATGCCTATCGTCTTACCTCTCACAAACAGAAGGATAACTTTGTCTTGCTACAGAGATTTACTGAATTGAATATTTAAGATATAAGAAGGATATCAACAAAGATGAAGGTAGGAAATACTAAAGAGGAAAAAGAGAACAAGTTGATTAAAATTTTCTTGTTTGCTTGTATTATAAAAATCGAAAGAAGCTGCTGAGAAGAAACAGGGGAGAGGAATGAAGAGTAGACCAAGCCAGACTTCACTGAAACATTTCTTGTTGCAGAATGGGATCTAAATTGAGGTATTAAAGAAAACCAATTTGCTGTCAACGAAGAAAGGTACACTGAAAGTGACAACAAAAATGCTCTACAGCCTGGAAGCATGCAATTGTGAGTTCACTTTCATACAATAACCATGGTTTTGAAGATTATCTTGCTTGAGTTTAGCTTAGTCTGAGTCACTAAGTTTTGACTTGGCAAAGGGAATATGAGATTGTCTTGATTGCGCTAGGCATATTCATTGATACGGTAAGCAAAAAGAATTTAAATTACAAATTCCAATTACTGTTGCAACGTTCGCTGAGTCTTGAATGAGTCAGGACCTGAACTCAGTCTCCTTTGAGTTTGTGGATTAGACTAACCCTTGAAGTTAAATATTAATTAATTTTAAGTCCTATGTTCATACTTATACCAATCCGCCTAACTTGCTGGTTTAAATAATTAAGTAGTTTTCTTGACATAAATTATGAAGTTATCAACTAACAACAAATCATTTTTAATTGGAGATGAACACCAACTTGTGAATTAAAAATTTTGAATAGAAAGTGACCATTTGAGAATGTATGAAGAGATTCTGGAATCAACCTATTGGTGGTAATGGTATTATTTGATTTATGAGAAAATTGGTAGTGAATGGAAATTGGTATTTGATTTATGAGAAAAATGATAGTGATTGAAAAATTCGTAGTCTTGAAAAAGGCAACTAAAGGTCTGATTGATTTTTTGGTTGATGTAGGACATCTTGAACACCTTATTAGTATTGACTTGTGAGGAATAATGATTTGGAATGTGTTTTAAGTCAATGTTGAGTTTAACCACTAAAAGAAGCTATGACACTTTCACCATGAAAAAAAAAAGAAAAAAGAAAAAAGAAAAAATAATAAAATAAAGTGACCATTTCAGAGACAGAAGAAAACTAGATATTGATGCTTTTTCCTAACCATTTCCAAGTATTGGCCTAGTGTCATGAGTTGACACTTTCAAATCTAACGTTGTGACGTTTGTATGTGTGCTGGCCTTTGTTGTACTTAGTTTATGACTTTGGAAGTGCCTATGCAAGTGTGGCATTGAGTTCCAAATCTAGTGGTTTAGCGGCCCAACATGGCTTGGAAGTATGCCCACAAGTAGTCCATTGTATACATGTCACGGAGCACGCTTAGTAGCGAGCTCAGCGCCCAACATGCTTACCACCCTGTGCACTCATGCTCACCCAAGATTGGGGTTTTTCAAGAATTGGAGAATTATTGGAAAATCACTATAACATGATTGATGTTTCTTTGTGGCAAAGAACTTGAAAGGTTATTGTAAGGGGGCATGGTGTGCCATCTACCAACCTCCCCAGCCTGTGATCAGCTAGAAGTGGGCAACCTAAGGGCAGGCTTTTGACTTACCATGAGAGGTTGTCATAGGTTTCCATGTGGGTTTGGGATCCCCATGGACAGTGTTAGCAAGGGGCATTAGTGCCGACACTATGCATCTAATCTCGACGTGAGGTTTAGGACACACCCACTATGCTGCTGCTTGCAGGCTTCATCAGCATGTGTGTCATCCTAAACTGCAGCTTGCAGGCTTCATCAGCATGTGTGTCATCCTAAACTAAATAGGTTATCGAGGCGCCACCAAGAGCCTTGTGTGCCAGTTCACGAATACATGCTTGGGTTCAGCCACGGATGTGGGATCTCATAGCCTAAGCTGAAGGTTCGGTGGCAATGTTGCTACTTGTGGGAACATTTGAAGGCATGGGGCAAGCTCGATGTAGTGACAGCCGATTGGCTGTATGAATGGGCAACTTGGGGCAAGCATGAAGGCAAGTCACATTAGATTGTGGAACTTCTTCGTGCGAGTTGTTCATGCTAGACAATGCATTGGCTATGCAGTTGTGAACATAGGTGAAGATTCAACACTCTATGGTCAAAGAGATTATCAAGCTTGAACTTGGTGGAGTTGAAGCGGCACATGGGTAAAAATTAATTCCGTTGCATGCTCGAAAGAGTCGGCCCGTGACATCGAAGCATGTGAGGAAGTCATTGTGTAGGTTACTATAAGCTATGTTTGTTTCGTCGGTGTAGATTATATGTGACTATTTATTTTGAAATTAGAGATATGTTTGGATGACAGGAATATTGAAGGGAAATGTAAATGTGAAGATTAGTAGTAATAAAATTATTGTGCCAATGTTATTCAAGCATTTGGTTTCGTTAGGAATTCTTAATGAGAAATAAGTAAGATTTTAAAAATTGTGCAGCCAACTATTTTTTTTACTCTTAAATGGTTAACATTCTTCCATGGAAGTAAAATTACCATGGTGGGATGGGAGAATCAAATTCTTACTTTAGTTTAGGAATATGATTCCTACTAAAGTCAATAATCAAAAACTAGTTTCCTATTCTAATTCGTTCAAAATGCTTGAATCATGAAGACTCGAAATCACATTTTCATTCTCCTTCAAGATTTTTGTCTTTCAACCATAGTCTAATAGTTATGGGATTATCAATTTATTAAAAAAATGTTTCATATCCCACATTTGGAATGCTTGAAATGTCCTCAGTTAGGAGGGAATTAATAAAATATTATATTATCCTAGATTAGTTTTGAATAATTAGGTATGATATTGATAATAATGATCAAATTTGAAGGATATTTTAGTCTTTTAATATCTTAAAACCCCTCTCAATAGTCAGGAGCTTCTATTTTCACACATTATTTTCATTTTGTGCAGATCATTCTTAGCTCACATATATGTTTGAAAAATAATAAATATGCAATATATGCTCACTCCACGCATTTTATTTCAAATATACCGTAACAAGTAAAAAGTGTACAGACACTACTCAAAACATACCCAAATCTATATACACACATCCAAACTTAAAACTCCATTGAAGAAAGTTGAACCACCATTTTTAAAAGAAGAAAATAGTAGTTCAATCTGGTACACAAGTAGTATAGTATCTACTGAGTCAAAAATAAAAACAAAAAAATTATAATACCCAACTATATATAGGTTATGACGATGGAATTTTACTTCGTCCAATTATGGGGGTCAATCTATGATGGTGAAGAATTTTTTACCAAAATCTTTTTATGTAATTGCTCCCTTACTTAAAAAATAAATAGATAAAAATTGCCAAATCTGTGTACACATATCCAAATTTAAACCTCCATTGAAATTTACCTATTTACATATATTTTTTGTTTGATAAGATTGTAGGAGACTAGTTTGTTAGTAAAGTTAAATTGCAATTAAAGTGGTCGTTATTGCTTCATCAATTCAAACTCCATACCTTCCCTTCTCCACACCCTAATGTGTGGCTACAAGACCACTGGGCCAAAAAATTTGAACCATCATTTTTAATAGATAAGACTTAAACAATAGAAAACTTAACAAGAGAAAGAAAAGAAAAATAAAAACAGAATGACAATGTGTAAAACAATAATAACAGATGAGTTCGAAAATTTAGAATCAAAATTATAGGAAGAGTTCGGAACTACAGTATTGGGAAAAAAAAAAGAAAAGGGACCACTTAAAAAAAACCCCACAATTTGAGGCTTGTAACAAAATAAACCACAATTTTTTTATTTTGTTAATTTAAATTCTAAATTTTTGATTTGTTTTCAATCTAAATTATTTGTTTATTTTCATTAAGTAAAATCGATAGAAAAAATTGATATTTTAGTCATTAAACTCGATGAAAAGTGTACTTTAGACATTTTATATAATGAGTTTAATGAATAAGATATTATTTTTTTCGTCAGTTTTACCTATAAAAAATAGTCAAATAGTTTAAATTGAAAATAATTCAAAAGATTAAGATTTAAATTGACAAAATTTAAAACTCAGAATTTATTTTGTTTCAATACTGAAACCCTGGGATTCTTTTTGTAATTGTCCCAAAAAATATTTGTTCGGAATTTGATAGTCAGAAAAAAAAAAAAAAATGTTCGTAACTTGGTTTCCCAAAAAATACTTTTCTTTGCCACTTGGTTTCCAAAAAAGAAAATTTAGTTCAGAACTTGATTGTCAAAAAATTTAGTAAATTTTGTCCTTAGTTTATCAAATGAAGCTGAAAAAAAAGGGACGATTTTAATATTTAAACTCACATTTTTGTTGATATTTTTATCATAAACAACAATATCATTCTCAAAATTGGAACTATCATCATGCAAAATATTCCATAACTAAATAACGATGGTGAGATTTGAATGAGAAGGAAAAACTCAATCTAAAGTAATAAGTTTGATGATAGATTAGAAAAGATGAGCACCTTTGGAAGGTGACAATGTAAACTAAAGTAGGGTAATGGATTGAAAAAATAAAAACCTTTCTTTCGAAGATCTAGATGGCAATGGGGTGAGTAATTTTTAGGATTGGACCGTGTTGTTGGGTCCGTGGAGGCCCACCACGGGTCCCATTTTGATAATCTGAATCGTGAATGTGTAGAACTCGTTGAGTACTATATGCCTGTAAAAAATCACGTTAATCGGATATCGATAGCTATGTGATCAAATTAGTTTTGTATAAAAAAAATAGACGGTGAATAAATTAACGGTTGACAAAAATCTGTTTTGATCACATAGCTATAGATATCCGATCAATGTAGTTTTTTACAGGTATATAGTACTCGACGAGTTCTACACATTGAAACGGTTTAGATTATCAAAACGGGATCCGTGGTGGGCCTCCACAGGCCTAACAGCACGGTCCAATCCGATTAAGGACTGGACAGAAGCCATTCCCTTTATTTATTATTATTTTTTTTGGGGTGTGTGTATTGAGATTTTTTTTTTATTTTTATTTTTAGAATATGTGTATTGAGAAAATATAAATCTCAACTGAAATATGTATACTAATATCTATAACAATAATTTTGTTTAGGGTTAAATCGTAATAATTTTTTTTTTCATAGTTGCCAATCCCAATGTTCCATTTTACAAAAGTCCCATTTTATATCTCATTTCCTTTCGTTTGGTAACAAACTATTTAATAACTTTTAAATTTTTTAGTTAAAATATGATTGAAAAAAAATTAGTATATTTAGGATAGTTTTTTGGCTATATATGAAAAAATATGTAAAAAAATATAAAAAAAAGAGAATGTTTAACTTTTTTTTTTAAAAAATAATTTATTAATTTTTTAAATAATTTTTTAATTTTTACAATAAAATCAACACTTCCTTGTATATAGGATATTCAATGCCAA